TAACAAACTAAATAACTCAGTTTCCTCTAATCATTAACCCATGTTTGTATCATGTAGTTAACTCCGTGTGTTGCTGCTAGCATACATAACACCTGACGTGGAAACGTTACTCGTGATGGAGCTACAGAGCTGCTAGAAAGACGGTCGAACCCGGTACATTCCTCCGTCTGCATGCGGTGCACTTTTGCTAAATGTTTAGACAAATTGCTCGTGCTTACATGCTAAACTCTTATTGCACTTATGGTAACAAGTATTCTCCACATCGAGACGGGTAAAGTTTAACCACACCTCGGAGCGCGTTCTCTCCGCCATCTCCGCAGTGTGCTCCGCTGCATGTAGCAGCTGCGTGTGTGTAAACTGCCCCGCCCCCTCGCACACAGACGGGGAGAGAGATCTCGTCTGATCGAAAATACATCATAGACGCATTTGTTGTCTTTGCATATTAGAAACGAGTTGGCGACACTAAGACTGCGATATAATGTTTTTTAGCAATAATACATGACATATATAAATGTACTGTATGCATTCAAAAGTGCTGAATAAATGTTTTATGGACCCATAGGCCTAATAGTGATTATTATTTAAGTTAAGTTTTGCCATAATCATGTCTATTTCCATAATCAGGTAGCTGAACAACATTGGTAAAAAATGTATACATTATATATATATATTTCTATTAATCATTTTCGGCCTTTCGGCATTCGGTTTTCGGCCAACTGTTTCCTATTTTCGGTATCGGTTTCGGCCAAGAATTTCCCATTCGGTGCACCCCTAGTGTATATGTAAAGCGCTTTGAGTCATTGAAAAAGCGCTATAATAAATGTAAGGAATTATTAATTATAATTTTTTATTTGAAAGGTGATGACAGATGATGGACTTTTTTTTTGTTGAAGATATTTTTACTTTAATCTAAATTACATTTGTGATTGACAATCTTTGCTGTGATACTTTTAAGAGCATAAACATTTATGTCATCAACATTTGGTTGAAAACAAAATAGGCCACCACAAAGGTGAGCAAAAAATGGAAAAAATACAATGTATTTCCCATGAAGGCTAAAAATTGTGTATTATTTCAGTTAACAAACTTTGCCATCTAATTTAAATTGAAACATATTTTAAAAATAAATGGTACAGTACATGTTGCTCTGGTAATCCACTGGAAACCCACCCCTCTGGTGGGATCAGGATAATCCAGTTTTTTGGGATCAAACTGATCCCAATCCTGTGTTGTCGGTCTGAACTACCCGTTTTGAAGATTTGATCCAGATTAAAGCTTGGATTGAATTTCCTGATCTGATCGGATATCAAAGTGATCCTAATCCTGTTTTTTGGTTTTGAACTCCCCAAAATCCAAATCTGATCTGATCAATAATAATAATAATAATTTCAATTTATATAGCGCCTTTCACGAAACCCAAGGACGCTTTACAATGGGAAGTAACAAAACAAAAAGTAATAATAAAGAGACATAGGCTGAAGAAAACAAAAACAGGAACAGGTTGCTGAGTACTGTATATTAGTTGAGGCCAAAGGCCTGAGTAAACAGATGGTGTTTGAGGTGTTTTTTGAAGGTGTCCAGAGTGTCTGCATTCCTGATTGCACAGGGGAGAGAATTCCAGAGGGTGGGGGCTGCGACACTGAAGGCTCTGTTGCCAAATGTTTTCAGCTTGGAGCGCTGGATGGAGAGCAGCCCTTTGTCAGAGGACCGCAGGTGACGAGAGGGGGTGTAGGGCTGAAGGAGGTCAGAGATGTATGGAGGGGCTAGGGAGTGGAGAGATTTGTAAGTTAGCAGGAGGAGTTTGTACTGGATGCGTGACTTGACCGGGAGCCAGTGAAGGTGGATGAGGGTAGGGGTGATGTGTTGCCAGGGCTTAGTGTGGGTGAGGAGCCTGGCTGCAGAGTTCTGGACATACTGGAGCCTGTCCAGGGCTTTGCTGGTGACCCCGAACAGAACTCCATTGCAGTAGTCCAGACAAGAAGAGATGAAGGTATGAATTAATGTTTCTCAGATAGGGATTAAACGTTTTGAACTCCTGGGCCCAATGGTTTAACATGCTTAAATATACTCCTAAATTATTATTTCATATGTGACATATGTAAGAAAAGGGAGGGAAGAGTCAATTATATTGAGTAATTGATTTTATATTGGGTAATTTATTTCTCAAACCTGTTTTATGGAAAAGAAAATGTATTTCTGTTAAACTAATATTTTATCAAAAGGTAAATGGTGAATTAATATAACATTTAGAATCATTGAGAAGGGGTGATATCCACAGGGACTAGCTCACCTTACAATAACATTTCTCTGCTTTGGACTGATGAGTATATGATTCTTGCATGTTAAATGACTAACACAAACCTTACATTTATGCATGTGCATGTGTCAGGAAGGCTCCCAAATAATTCTGAGGGGCCTATCCTATTTTTGTAATTAAATGATAATGTGCTAATCCATTACTTTGAGTTGTCTTCACTCAGGAAAACATCCCTATCAAGTGTTAACCCAATAACTAGGACAGCTCTGAAGGCCAAGGGTCAGAGAGAAAGGGTCACACTCTCCGGCTGCAGAGAGCACCCCCAGCCACGTGCAAGGAAGCACGAGGTCGTTCGAGATGAGAGGATTCTAATCTTCAACTTTCTGCTAAGATGGGGTTCTTCTCTTCACCTTTCTGCTCGGTGGGCTCTAGCAGACAACCCTGCAGGACGAGCGAGGGCTTCAGAGGCTTCTATAAACTCTAAAAAGTGATGCCACCATCATCATATCCTCTCAAGAGTCAAGTAGATGATGAGGATAAGGAGGGGTTGGTTTTGGTGGCTATATTAAAGAATGATATGAGATGTTTTGTTGCAGTTTTTGTTGCCATTATCTTGTCTGAACATCCAGTATCAGGAAGTTCTGTGGTTGTTTGGGTACAATACCTTGTTGTTCTTTTCAGCTACGTGTTACCCCATAAGCTACCCACCTTTCTCTTTTTTGCATCTGTTGAATAGTTTGAGGTTGTCCAAAACTCTCTGCCAGGAAAATAACAGAAAAGGCAGAAACAACAGCCAGAGTCCCCAGTGTGATATAAGGCAGGTACTCAAAATATTCACCTGTACAAGGAGAAGGGGAAAATAAAAGTGTGTACAGAGCACCCAAACAACAAATAGGTGCTGATTATCCACAGAAATGTGTCTATGTGCTTACACAAATTCAGGTTAAACTAGATAGTACCTGATCTCACTGCAGCTTTCGACACCGTCGATCACGGCATCCTCCTCCATCGTCTGCACTCCACCATCGGACTCTCTGACTCTCCCCTTGACTGGTTCAGATCATACCTCACCGGGAGAACGTAGTACGTCTCCTTGGGTGAGGCAGAGTCGGGTAGCCACAACGTCACCTGTGGTGTCCCTCAAGGATCAGTTCTCGGCCCCACCCTCTTCACACTCTACATGCTCCCCCTTGGCTCTATCATCAGCCGACATGGAGTATCATTCCATTGCTATGCTGATGACACCCAACTGTACCTCAGGATCAACCCTACCTCCTCTGCAGCCCTGCCTTCACCCACACTCACTGCCTGCCTGGAGGAGATACAGCCGTGGATGAAGCAGAACGTCCTGAAACTCAACAGCTCCAAGACCGAAGCCATTATAGTTGGCACCCCACACCAGGTTCGGTCATCCACTATCACCACCATCACCTTCTCCGGCCAGGACATTACCCTCTCCTCAATAGTCACCAACCTGGGTGTTAAAATGGACGCCCATCTGACCTTTGAGGCCCACATTAAACAGCTGTGCAAGAACTCCTTTTATCACCTCAGGAACATCGCCAAACTCCGCCCCACACTCACTCTGTCTGACGCCGAAAAGCTGGTCCATGCCTTTGTCTCCTCCAGGCTGGACTACTGCAATGCACTCCTCATCGGGATCCCTAACAAAAGCTCAGAAGCTCCAATACATTCAGAACAGCGCTGCTAGGATCCTGATGAGGGTGCACAAATATGATCACATCACCCCCATCCTTAAAGCACTACACTGGCTACCCGTGGAACTGAGGATCGAATTCAAGGTCTCGTCCTCACCCACCAGTGTGTCCATGGAACTGCCCCTCCCTACCTCAAGGAACTCCTCACCCCCCATACCTCCTTGCGGACCACCTGCTCCAGCAACTCCAACTTCCTCAAACCCCCCAGGACTAAGCTCCGTACTATGGGAGACCGGGCCTTCTGCTCGGCTGCTCCCAGTCTGTAGAATGCTCTCCCCGACCAAATGAGAGCACCACAGACCGTGGAGGCTTTTAAAAAAGGCCTCAAAACCCATCTCTTCAAAAGAGCCTTTGCCGAGACCTTTTTATCACCCTTTTATTTTATTTATTTTTTTATTGCTTTTTATTAATTCTACTGTGTTGTGTAATGTTTATTTATACTGTTCATGCTCACTACTTGTAGCACTTCGGGATTTGAAATCAAATATGAAGTGCTTTATAAATGGAACCCATTATTATTATATTGAAGACGAGTTGACTCACTCAGCTGTAACAAAAAAGGAACAAGGCAGCTTCCTATTCTGGAAACAGTAATGCAAACGCCTTCCGCTGTATTCCTGAGCACTGTTGGGTAAAGCTCTGCAGTGTAGGCGTACATCAGGGTTACCATCATTTATTTATTGTTTTGTTTTTTTACCTGTGCTAGTTAACTTATCTGTTTTACTGATACTTATTTGGTTGTTGAGTCATTGGTTTTTATTTGACGTGTTTTAGCCTCTTATATTTAATGTTGCCCACTTATTTATTTTCTTGCCTTCCATGCACCATCCCTTTGCTGTTGTAACAACATATTTCCTGCTGAGGAACAAACAATGTTCAATACCCAGACATAGCTGTCAGGGAAACAATCATAACTATAAACAAGATACCCTTATAGTACTTGTAATGAAAAGATCGCAATGTAGATCAAGTCAAGAAGTTCTCCCAGCAACATTGTTATTATTTTTTTAGTTTTTTATTGCATTTACAGGTTATATATTCCAAAGGTTAAACAAAGATATTGATAACAGATCCAATAGCTTTTTGACAAAGCAGTATGGTGTCACAACAAACATGCCAACTGTGCAACATTTGTCTAGTGAAAATGTTGTGCTTTTCAATGTTGTTCAAAAAGACAATAGTGCAGTGTTTTAATATTAAAGCTCTGTTTTGATATTTGTAATTTTACTTAGCTTTCAACGAGCGCAGCACAATTGACTTTGTTCCAAAATGATTAAGGCCATATTTGTAACATAGTGCTCCTTAATGCTAATTATCATTGACCAGCCATATGAAGTATTATGATACTTGACCTTATACATCATGATAAAAGGCTTCATAGCCTTCTATGATTTTGTGATAAAGCAATCTGAATATTTGTGAGCGCTTGTAAATGTGATAAAAGCCTTCAAACTTTTAAAACGATGTTCGTAAGGCATTATCGACATACAGTAAGTGTAAACAACAGTGTTATCAGAACCGTATACAGCAGTATAATATTTATGAATAACTCATTCATGTTTGACAATCAGAGTCTACTTTCCAAATGCACCACAGGTTTCAAATGTTCTTTTCTTGTGATGCATGGGCACTTCATGCTGTAGTGATGAAAGAAAACACAAATAAAACAATAATTAGATTTTCAAAAGGAAAAAATAAATAAAAATAGACTGATGACACCATCATAACATCCTCTCAGATTGACATGGATAATGACAATGAGAGACGCTGCGTTTTGGTGGTTATAGTAAAGGTATCATGAGATCTTTTGTTGAAGTTTTCTTTGTTATAATTCATTGCTATAAGTGAATACATATATTCAAACACTGCTTTCTTGGTATGAATGTGTCAACAAGGACAGTTTAAGTATTGAGAGTGTTTTGCACGTTTCTTTAAATCTAATACTCAGTGTAATTTCTGTGTTTTATAATGTTGATGAAGAAATAGTTAATGCTAGATACCCACCGTTCTCTCTTTTGCATTTGCTGAATAGTTTGAGGTAGAGGTTTTCCAAAACTTTCCGGCAGGAAAAGAGCTGCAAAGGCAGAAACAACAGCCAGAGTCCCCAGTATGATATAAGGCAGGTACTCAAAAGATTCCCCTGAATAAGGAGAAGGCAAAATCAGGAAGAGGAAGATCCGGGGTCCTATACATGTGCACTATAAACATGTACAGGATGTGAAATCAGAGCATCCAAACTATTAAAATGCCAGCTTATCTTCACAAATTCAATATGTTAAGATAGGATCAAACAAATATCTACTATTGAAGATGAGTTGACTCACTCAGCTGTAACAAAAAAGGAACAAGGCAGCTTCCTATTCTGGAAACAGTAATGCAAACGCCTTCCGCTGTGTTCCTGAGCACTGTTGGGTAAAGCTCTGCAGTGTAGGCGTACATCAGGGATGTACCGTTGGTGATAACAAGTTTACCCAGCATCTCCAGAGCGACAGCCAGCTCTGATAAAGCTGAAACGCAAGAAATGAATTAACAACAGTGTTTTTTTATCAAATGTTCTCCTTTGCTTGAGTGACTCCAAAGCTTTATTCAAGTCCTCCTCTTTCTCTTAGCAATTATTCCACTTACAAAGCCTTCTTAAAAAGGAACTCTCTCTCTCACTCTATATATATATCAAATTAACACCAAACCAAAATGTGCACATGTGCTCGTAATATCAAGAATTATGGTTTTCAATTGTAAGTGATGGCACGAGAAGTAAGTGGGAGGGAAGTGACCCCTAAGTCCCTTTCTTAATTCGGCAGCATTTCTGGTTTGATCCCAAGAAAATCTCTCAATGAGGAAAAAGAAGGACAGCCGGGTCCAGATGTATGTCTCCCCTCTCATCATGTAATGTAAAATCGACAAGCTAACAGCGTTAGCCTGGAGTCAGATGGAATATTTGGAGTGCAGTTTACTTTGATAATGAGAACATGGCTGTACCAGGATATATCTAATGACAACATTTCCATCGAGCTTCACCACGTCTTCACCATGAGCCTGAGTGATCAGAGGGTCTCTGTGCTTAAGACGCCGCGTCCCAGTGGCTACTCTCATTGCACATTTTTACTCTTACTTCCTATGTTTGTATAAATAGTTATTGACTTTAGTCCAATATGGTGCACATGTAATAAAACATAATTTCCCCCCGGAATAAATGAAGCATTCATTTCGATTGATTGATTGAACTGCTTACTTTCAGGCACCAGTTGAATGAGAAACAGTGACACTCCACCAAGGAGTAAGATAAAGATGACAGAGAGTCGACGTGGGAAGTATTTCAGTGCCAGCCAGCAGGAAATGTAGGCTGGTACCTCTGCAGCTGCTGAGAGGAAGCAGCTGATGTAGGGGTTAGCATGAAGCCGGGATGTGTTCAGGGACAGGCCATAGTACCCAATACTCAACGAGAACCTGGACATACACAGACCAAAGAGATGTTTGTTATTAGTTTATGAATATATTGAAAATGTATGATCCAATATGGTTATAGAGAGCTTTGTCAAATGGGGCAACTTCAATCATTAAAGCTCAATATGATCAAAACCAATGAGCAGGTTGTGGAAAAAGAAAAACCATTGTAGGAAGTTGTAGCCATGACAGTAGACATTGCTACAAATATAGATGTTGCAGCTAATGGTACGAGTTTATGTTGTGATTTTTTAGTCTACCAACCACTAAAAAGGACTTAACCCCACATAGCATCATTCTTCCATTTGCACACACAATAAAACACAAACACTAATGGCAAGAGCTGAAATGCCAGATGCCAACCTACTCATCAGGACCGTTTAAGGGCCAAGTGCTTTGGAGGAGCCGAGGAGTTGTACCTGCATTCCAACTGTGGGTATGAATTTAGATCTCATTATCTTTCTTAATCAGACATAAATCTGTAAGAATCATCTGCTAAACTACTTTAATAGGTATGCCGGTGTGATCTAAAATTCAATATGATGGCTGGGGAGTTGTAATAAAGAACACTACTCATCACAGTAATGTGATAACTTCTTCTGCTAATGCATTACCTATTGAGTACATTCTGCTGTCTTTCCCCAACTGCTTCTCTTTACCAAGGAGCTTCACTTGGACGTTTGGGACCAACTACTAGGAGTTACAAGTTCAGCAAAAAGGACATGAACCCTGTTCAGAGTGGATACTCACCACACCAGGCAGAGAATGACAGTCGTGCTTCTGACGCTTTGTGTCTTCACCAGGCTGATAACATTGAGGTGTTCCTGAGGGTGCATGTCATCATCCTGCAAGATAATACACAAATATAATAATGTCAGTTTTACCAGCAGCTAGTTATGTTTTAGCTAGTCTGTAACCTACCACTTTGGTGAAGAAGTAAAAATGTTGAACTGTAGGAAAAATAGCTATGAAATTTGAAAAAGGACTGCTCTTTACAGAATAAATAGTACTATTAAAGTTGGCCTTAAGCATATCAATTGCCTCCTGTGTCTTCACAATCCTATTCAAGTCAGACTCACATTTGCAATGTAATCTTTAAAGATGACCGTTGGAGCCTCAACTCTGTTTGTCTTAGCCGCCTTTCTCACTATGGCCTCGGCCTCCTCCACTCTTCCCTGAGAGAGCAGCCAGCGAGGAGACTCCGGGATGAACCTTCCTCAGCATTAAAGACAGAAATAAATGTTAACCAGTGGGTTTAACATATAAAACAAAAAAGAAGATGAATGCAAGTTAGAATATTTTAGGGAAATAGCCAAATTGTTGTTACCCTCTCCTGACATTTTGCTGTTATAAGTACAACTTACCACCAGAGAGGGATGTAGAGCACGCCAGGTAGAGAGATAGCTAACAAGAGAGATTTCCAGTCCCTTAAAAAAAAAGCTATGAGAGGCAGAATCATGTAGCCAATGGCAAAGCCCAGACACACACCCATAGATGAGAATATGACCCGAACATCGCCAGTCAAGATCTCAGTGCCTGTAGATAAAGAGAAATGTATGATAGAAGCAAGATGTACACGGCAAATATATGCATATCATTCAGAATCAGACATGTCTTTAAATAGTACTTTTCTTTGTTACAAGAGCATTTACCCAAAACAAAACCAGATACATAGTTGGATATCTGTCCCAAACCATTGAAGAAAATGAGGATGGTGAAAACCGTCCAAGAAGGTGAAAAAGCTTGACAGAAGGAAAAAGTTGTCTGAACTGCCATGGTGGCGAAGAAAACAGGCTTTCTTCCAAACCTAGAGTGAGAAATCCAGGAAATACAGATGATAGAATACAAATTATACAAAATAACATACTAAATATAAACAAGAAATGTTTCATCAACTGTATGCATTATGTGCCAACATAAAACTTTACAATAAGTGACGTAATACTGAGGAAAACGCCTGTTGGATTTGTAGATTTCTGTACCTGTCTGAGAGCTGTCCTGAGATGAAGGATCCAACAAGATATCCCAGGAAGCAAGCTGTGGAGGTGAACGGTTGCTTCCACTGATCACTGCACACCAGGTCAAACTGGAATATCCATACATGAAAAATGTATCAATGAATACAATGACCAAAGGAATCCATATCAAAAACAACCTGATGAATATAAGTACAATATTCAGTAGCTGACTAGGATGCTATACTTAACAGCTCCGTGATAGAATGGTTATCTGTTTGAATGTATAACCATTTTGTCAAAAGCTGCAAATGGTAGTATGTGAATGTGCATGGTGTGGGGGAAACTGCTGTGTAGCAATGCAGGAGGAGTCACCGACTCAAAAGGAGACACGGGGAGAGCTGGAGCTTTGATGTCAAACACTGATGGGTTTATTTAGGAGCTTCGGCCGGAGAATTCACAAAACAAGTCCAAGAGCCAGAGGTTCTGACTTCACGGTAGAGTTGCCACGTCAATTCTGAAGAACTCACCAGAACTACTCCAGACCCATGTGTTTAGCTAGTTCAGAGAGAATAATCAACATAGAATCATATCACCTCTATCAGCTGACGTTAACAGGCAGGAACACGGAGACAGAACCCTGAGAGCACAGCAGCCAAGGTTATAGGTGAGTGTGCTCAGTCAGGACAGTATGAACTGATAAACTGGGTCAAAGTTATGGGCCTTGGAAAATATTTCCCCAACAGTTATTTCCCCAACACATGGTATTTGTAGAATTGTATCCTTTTATCAAAGGAATTCTCTATCATAGCATAGGAAATGAAGAAAAACAACAGCTCAAACATCCTTTAAACAGGGTTAACTGGGAAAATGTTATTCTTATCACCCATTAATCAGTTTAAACTAGGGATGCACAATAATTATCGGTCCGATATTAGGAATTATGACGTCATCCCGATAAACCCGATACCAGTATTAATAGCCCCGATAATATACAATATATTTCTTGGGTAAAAAAAAAGAAAAAAATACTGCGGTGTGGGTGGATTGGGATGAGGGGCGCTTGTTTTTCACTCGGCTCCTCCCGTTTTGCCAGTACAGTGGTTTAGGAAGAGGGGAGTTCTTCACAAATCCAGCGCTCCCTAACTCATGCCTGGCTGTGAAGCCAGGACAGTAAACAAACATGTCGTCGGTGGTATGGGCGTTGGAGCTATGTGCAACTCAAGGCATATGCTCGAACCGGAGCTGCCTGGACGCTGCAATCATGTTGCGCACTATCCGTGCTGAGTGTGCTGACTTCTCGTACAATGTCCCACTGTCTGGCTTCCTGCATAAAGTCAAGTGCTCGGCGCAGTTGTGGCGAAATGTCGCTCCTCTGTTTTCATTTAAACAGCTCCTTATATCCGTTAGCGCAGCTAGCTAGCACCAGATGCTAACAACAACAATGCACGTAAGGTCTCTCTCTCGCTCGCTCGGGCCACACATACACACACCCTCCCGGTCCTCCAGATGGCCAGTCGGTGCCTGCCGGTGAGCGTGGAAGTGTGGTCTACCACAAGCGGGCGACAGGAGCGGGGCTGTCAGCATCAGCTTGTAGATGGTATTTTAAACTCGATGCGCTCTGAAACTACGGGGCGGCCGAGGAAAAATATACACATGCGTTAATCGCGTTAAAATAATTAGTGGCGTAAACATTTTTTTGTTATCGGTATCGGTCTTGAGAAGCAGGACGTTATCGGTATCGGTATCGGTTTCAAAAAACCAATATCAGTAGTTATACTCATGCCACTTTCGTCTCATTAGTATGCATAGAAAAGTGACAGGTCACACCTCTAAGCCCCACCCCCTCCAGCGGAAGTCCCGGTTTTCAAAATAAAATATAAAAATAATTTAAAAATGAGAAAAATAAAATGCTGCCCCTACCGGTTTACAAAATAAAATAATAATTTAAAAATGAATCACATTAGTATGCATAGGATCAATGTCCCGCCTCCTAACCACTTCCTGTGCCCCCTAATCCTGTATACAGTATTGACTGTAACTTACAAATACTTGCAAATAACATGAAATAAATCAAAGTAATGTCAGCCTCTCTAACCCCTCCTTGCTCTAAAGAGTTCCGTGAAAAGTTTTGTGAACAGTCTGGACATGTCTGAAGACAAGTCAGGACAAGTGTGAGAGAAATCATAAAACCCCCTGACATCCTCTACAGTCAAATGGCGGGCGAGGGGAGGGGTAACACACACACACACACACACACACACACACACACACACACACACACAACCAGATGTGTGGGGGGGGGGTTGAGATAGCCTGGGTGTAAATGTTAATTAAGATACTCTCTGTGAGAGAAATGAAGTTAGTTTTTAAAAAAGAAATAAACTCAAATTAAATAAAAACAGCCATTAATTTTCACACACCAAGACATCTAAAAACGTTATTGTCCTCTCTAGATTTGATTCAGGGTTTGTTTTAAATGGTGTGTGCTGGCTAAGGATGTTTCTTTTCAAGTTTTGGGAAACTGTTAAAGAAGTATCTGTTTTGCAAAGAGGTTATTTTCAAAAGATCTTATTTAGGTTTTAATAGTGATACCTAAGGGTATTCTCTTTTAGTATATGGATTTGTGAACTGATGTGTAATTACTTTTATTAACTATAATTGCACAGGATCATTCTAAGAAGAGTGAGTGAGAGGGCTAATGAGCCAGCACCATACCTCCTCTATGCATTTTCTTGACCTGTATCTGATCTTGAAAAACTTGACTCTTTTAAAAAAAGTTATCTTTCATCTATCATTTTCAACCATGCAGCAAGAGATCAAATTTAAGAATAAGTAATAGTTTGTCACGATTTTACGGGAAATAGTCAGTGCGCGATGTCACATCTTAAAGACAGCTTGAACTGGATAAATGGTTAGTCTTTTTTCAAACATACCGTACGTTCTGCATGTTAGTATATCTGGTCAATCGATTTAGACCCTACTGCCCTCAATAGGGAAGTCACGCTTTGGGAAGAGGTGTTTCATTTCACAGATCCACCTTGATTGTTGTGTGAGGGGTGAAGGAAGAGGGACGGGGGAGGAAAATTCAGAGGATGAAGAAGCAGAAAACATAACTTGTTTTGTAAAACGGACAGCACGTCAGTTTCAAGAAAGACGACAATAATTAGTAGTTAGACATTTTGGATATCGTTCGTTCTGGCAGTACTATTCCGGGTCATTGGGAAACTTTTTGGGACCCATTTAAAACCATTTAAAAGAGACATTTTCTCTGTCGTTCTTAATGCAAAAACAAATCATCTCTACTCCCTTTGGGTGAAGTCCAGGAATGTTCTCGGGGGGAGTGGACACTTGCTGTTACATGGCATAAAGCTTCTGCAGTGTGCCAATAAATGTATAGTTTCCCTAAAGCTCCATACATTTACACATATTGACTAATGACTCAGCACATGAGGGGTAAATACAAAACAAATCTAAATATCACCAATTATTCCAGAATGCGACTAGAATAGAGTCTAGAGAATGGACCCAGGCTTTGTCTTCAGCCACCAACTAAATAGGGGCGTGCTTTATTGAATCACCAGTATGTTACTCACCATTGAAGACAGTGTTGAGGGGGGCAAGCAAAGTGTACTCAGCGGCAGATTGCATGGAAGCAGAAAGGCCTAGCTCAGACACCATGTCTCCAAAGGTTGACTGGGAACTTCCAACCAGTTCCATCACCTGTTTAGCTTGAGGCACAAAGGGAATTTAAACACCATTAAAAATATGGATTACAGAAAAACAATATATGTATTAATGTAGTAAATCGGGTAATCATTAATAAGGGGAAAATGTGCAAGTCTAACCTGAGTCTGGCATGAGCACTTGATCAATAAGGTGGATGACACCATTGGTGGTGACAATGTCCTTCTTGAGCACCATATTGATGCCATTGACTGTTAAACTCTCGCCATCACAGCCTTGAAATCAAAGTAACGCTTCTAAAAAACATATATTTTAGAAAAGTAATGTTAGTCATGTCAAGTTATCAAGACTGCTGTGTTTCATCGAAACAGTGTTAAAATCACAAACATAAAGAAAACGAATTCCTTACAAATTAATGAATATTTTACCCGGTTAAAAAGGTTTGCATCCATTAAAGTGTAACTAAAAGTATCTTAGTAACACAAGAAAAGAGAATAAAGCATTGATGTCAACAAAACTGGATTGCTCCATTAAAATAGCGTTACAATCAAAAAGTGCCTCTAAAGAAAATGTATTCAGATAAAAGTATTTTATTTTCAGAAATGTTTAAGGTTTTGCATACATAAAAAGTGTATCTTACAGTTCCTTTTGTGAGAGAATTACACACAAATCTGCAGAGTGTCACTAAAAAGTTTTACACAGGGACTGACATTCTGTATGGGGGTTTCACACCTGAGCTGCTGCGGGGGGAGGGCGTTGAAAAGGGGGTGAGTATGTTTGGCTCTCGGGGGGATGGTGGGTTAAGAGTCACAGTCTTAAAGAAAATCTGGTCAGAAAAAGTATTTAACTTTCTACCAGTTGTAAGTTGTCATACATATAAAAAAAAGTAAGAGACTTACTGTTTCCTTTGTGAGAGAATTACACATAAATCTGCAGAGTGTCTGTAAAAAGTCTCAATCTCAAAAACTGCAGATGCCTCAAGGAGAGACTTGAAAAGATCCATGCAGAGTTGGGGGGGGGGGGGGAGAAGAAGAAGACTAATAACCAGCAGTTGACTGAAGCCAGGGACTTGTTCGATACATTGACTTTTTTCTTTAAAGTAAAATAAAAATGGAAACTACTATGCAAAACGCTCTGTATATATTGATCAGAATGTAGTCAATACCCTTTTAATAAGTGTGGTGATGAGGACGATTGAAAACAGAACGAGTAGTGACTCCTGTGTAAACAGAATGGCTGAAGTTTGTAAACTGGAAGACATTTTGGATATCGTTCGTTCTGGCAGTACTATTCCGGGTCATTGGGAAACGATTGTAAACGAAACATTTAAAGTGGTCCTGGAATCTTCATTTTCCGAAACATTCTGTAACATTACCGCAGAAATGAAACAAACATCAAAAGTGTATCATGTGCTCTCAGTGTATGCTCTGTTTGTAGATGTAATGCATCTCTGTGCAGAAAGCAGCATACACATGAAAATAACCTCTTTGCAAAACAGATACTTCTTTAACAGTTTCCCAAAACTTGAAAAGAAACATCCTTAGCCAGCACACACCATTTAAAACAAACCCTGAATCAAATCTAGAGAGGACAATAACGTTTTTAGATGTCTTGGTGTGTGAAAATTAATGGCTGTTTTTATTTAATTTGAGTTTATTTCTTTTTTAAAAACTAACTTCATTTCTCTCACAGAGAGTATCTTAATTAACATTTACACCCAGGCTATCTCAACCCCCCCCCCCCACATCTGGTTGTGTGTGTGTGTGTGTGTGTGTGTGTGTGTGTGTGTGTGTGTGTGTGTGTGTGTGTGTGTGTGTGTGTGTGTGTGTGTGTGTGTGTTACCCCTCCCCTCGCCCGCCATGTGACTGTAGAGGATGTCAGGGGGTTTTATGATTTCTCTCACACTTGTCCTGACTTGTCTTCAGACATGTCCAGACTGTTCACAAAACTTTTCACGGAACTCTTTAGAGCAAGGAGGGGTTAGAGAGGCTGACATTACTTTGATTTATTTCATGTTATTTGCAAGTATTTGTAAGTTACAGTCAATACTGTATACAGGATTAGGGGGCACAGGAAGTGGTTAGGAGGCGGGACATTGATCCTATGCATACTAATGTGATTCATTTTAAAATTATTATTTTATTTTGTAAACCTGTAGGGGCAGCATTTTATTTTTCTCATTTTTAAATTATTTGTATATTTTTATTTTGAAAACCGGAAGTGGGGGCGGGACATCCGCCGGAAAGGGGCGGGGTTTATGGGGACAGGACTCCCGCTGGAGGGGGCGGGGCTTATATTGGAAGTGGGTGGGGCGTATGGAGGCGGGACTTCCCGTGGAAGGGGGCGGGGCTTAGAGGTGTGACCTGTCACTTTTCTATGCATACTAATGAGACGAAAGTGGCATGAGTATAACTACTAATATCGTGCATCCCTAGTTTAAACAGGTTATTATTTGACATTTTGAATGGCCTTTTCAGCTTCCCTTGGTGAGTTCAGCCCATCTTTTTTTAAATTAGCAATTAGCAATAGTCACCTATTTAGTCCATAGATCTAACATTCTAGAAATGTTAAGAATAGAGTCTGCTCTCTACAGCTTAAACTATAGGGACACACACCTCAGAGACAAGAGTAGACTGGTAGATGTCTTTGCTGTAACTCCACCCGTCCACACAGCCCTCCTGCTCCAGGTCGGTGAGGTTGACGTCCCTGCCAGGAATGAAGCCCTGAGCAGAGAGGTTTCTGACCACATCCAGCCTGTACCTGCTGCATCTGCTCTGCTCCCGTTTCCCATTCACCACCTAACAGTCACATTAACGTTATTACTGTTATAAGCAAACATGTAATCAAAACGAACCCACCCATGTCAAGTGTGGTGCCATACCGTGTAATAAAAGAGTAGTATATTTTATACTTTTTACTCACTACATTTATTTTACAGACTTAGTTACTGGTCACTTTGCAGATTTAGTTTTAAATTAATATATGTTATTATAGGTTAAGTTAGCCAGTGTGTGTATAAGACAATTCAAATAAACCCCACCTTTACCAAGTCCAACATTGAAGTTATGCACATATTAATACATGAATAATGATAATACAATTATATAAACTATATGGTGCTTATTTGTGTCATTCTGTATGGAGGAGTACTTTTGCTTTTGGTACTAAGAGTATATTTTGATGCTAATACTTCTGTAGCTTCACTGAATGCAGCCCTGCAGAGTATTTGTATTTGTTTACTTCAGTAAATCATCCGATTAATTTTTCCACCCCTGGATACAACATTATGGCATTGACAACCGCATGACCTTTTCCACCACAGTCCAAAGTATAGAGACTAACTGATCACTTGATTCCTTTAACTTTTTACAGCAGACTCATAAAAAAAAACATGCTGCACATCTGAACAAAAGTATTGTGAAAACAAATTAACATTTTGTTTCTGGTTTGGCTAGTGTAAGAATTCATAATGAGGGAATAAAACTGCTACATTCTTCATTTTTGTATCACCTCTATCGGGATGATTGCATCGCGCCAATCTTGAGTCAGGTTTTCCTCAGGAATCAGGCAGTGGTGTCTGGGAATGTCTGTCAGGAAGACAACAGAGAAAGCGCCCAATCCATTGGGCACGATGCTGGCACAGAGCAGGAAGAAGACAACCTGCTGGAAACGTCCCCACTGACCCAGAAAAGCAGTGGACTCATCGTAATCCTTCATAGCCTGAGTATTAACTGTTTCCTCCACAGCTTGCAGAAAAATTCCTTTTCCAACTCAACAGAATGAAGACATACAGTTTGCAGTCTCTTGAACTGTGAGATAGCCACGCCCTTTACTAGATAACCATGCATGCCAACAAAGAAATAAAAAAAGGAAGAATTTTACAGCATTTCTCAAGCAATAATTTCCCCTTAGGTCTGCCGTTTAAAATCTATTTAATGTTGTTATAACTTGCTCAAGTTATTTTGCCTTTCATCTGAAACATTCCTTTGCTGCAACACTAATCATTTTCCTAGCCATAGCTGACAGGATCAAGCATGTATAAGCCACATTGCTACACATATTACAATTACTTGTATATAGACTCTTCTTGCAGTATTTATATTCTATTGTATTTGTATTTACTTGCACTATTGTATCTGTTTTATTGTGTTGCACTGTTGACCTAAGATGTTGACATATCTACACTATGTACAAATGACAAAAAAAGCCTTGAATCTGTTTTTTTATTATCCTTATCAGGTTATGTATTACAAAGGTCGAAAACGGTATTACGTAGTTTATGGATGCAATTTGTTGCTGACAAAGCAAAACGTGAACTGTGCAACTTTTGTCTAGTAAACATGTTCTTTCACGGCAAAACATGAATTCACATTTAACAGGTCACCCTTATAACAGTAATAACGGAAACCTGTCTCTGTCTAGAGACAAATGCCAGAAATGACTTTAGCCATAACCAGTCTGAAAGTTCACTAAGTCAAAAGGTCAGGTTATTTATTACCATGGCTAAAACAATGTTGGGAATGCAAAAGCTTGTTGACTGGTCACTTGCATTTCCACAATACACAGCGTTAAATGTGTGGGGGGGGGGTGGGGGTTTGCATTAAAAAAGGTAACAGACCGGTTGCATTCTATCATGAAATTAATGTATGAAATGAAAAAAAAGTTGCAAGTTATTTGACATTTTACAAAACTTGTGTTATTAAATATCATTGTAAGGATCTTTTCTGATTCCCTTTTAAGTTTTCATTCAACCATTTCAGTTACAAAATAGATGTTTGGGAACATGAAAGAGTGATGTTTTCAAATAGCTACAAATGTGTTAAACAATGAGAAATGTTAACAGTACTAACACAATTCAAAAGCAATATTCACATATAACTTTCATTGATGAAGTGCTTGATTGTCAAAGTGGAGTTTCAAGATGTTCCAATCGTATTGTTTCTTTTCCAGTGCATGGACACTTACACCTGTTATAAAGCCATAAAAAGGAAGAAAAACATTACTGGCTGCACGGTAAGGACTGTGATTTCAAGTCAGGACATTCATGCTGTGTGATAATAGTGCTCAAACTACAGTTCATGTATTAGGATCATTTCAATCCTACTGGAATCAAGAATTATTTGGCATTGTTGCATTAAAACGCTTTTTGTCAGTATATATGCCAAGTAAAAAGGAACATATTTAAGAGTGTAACAGAAAGTCAAATGAATAATGTTTTAAAATGTGAATTCTGTTTAATAAGTACCCCATAGTTATTAAATATGTTAACCAGCATTCATTACTTCATATCTAAAAATGAGCTTGGCATTAAAGAAGCTTCATAACTATTTCCTAAGGTACCCACCTTTCTCTCTTAGGCATCTGTGTCATAGTTTCAGGTAGAGGTTTTCCAAAACTCTCCGGCAGGAAATAAGCAGCGATGGCAGCCACAACAGCCAGAGTCGACAGGATCATATAAGGAAGATATATGTATGTATCTAACAATTGAAAAGGAAAGGTTTAGATTGGAGCAAAGTCCGGGGGCTTCAGGTGAAGTTATGTCAGAGTGTGTGTAAGGCTCTCAAACTTGCTGATGATATAACAAACTGGACATGCATTAATGCAGCAAATGCAAATGTACTCACTCAGCTTTATTACGAAAGGTGCTAAGCTTGATCCCACTCTGGAGATAGTCGTGCACGTCCCTGTTGCTGTGTTCCTTAGCACTGTTGGGTAAAGCTCTGTCATGTATGTAAACATCAGGGAGGAAGTAGTGGTAAAAGCATATTTACCGAACATCTCCAGTGCAATACAGAGATTGGGTAGACCTACAGAATAAAGAAATTGTGTGTCAACTGTTGTTTTGCATTAATGAGATACACAACTGGAGCACTTGATTTGACCCATGTTTGTACCATGAAGCCATTTTCTCCTACAATACAATAACAAAGGTTACAAACCTCATCATTTAAAGTAAAGCATAACTCATTCCTGACTCATGATGATTAAACGCACAAATCAATGCAAGAGCTCTTTCTCTTGCTCACCATTAAATACAAAACCCAGTAATTGAGTTTGTGAGTATCCTATTTAATTGTAGCAGTTCTTTAACCCAACAGAGGTACATATAAAGTATGTTTGGTGAATAGCTTGAATAAATAACAATTGTGAATTTTCTTAAAGATACAAAGCGTTCTCTATATTAACCCTTTGTTCTGAGAGTCCCCCCATATTTGTTTTGGGCTTACTTTGAGGCACCAGTAGTATGAGGTAAAGCGGCATTGCTCCAAGAAGCAAAGAGGACATGATAGACGGTCGGCGGGGAAGGTAGTGCAGAATCAGCCAGCTAGAAATGTAGGCTGGTACCTCTACAGCTGCTGAGATGAAGCAGCTGATGTAGGGGTTAGCATGAAGCTGAGCTGTGTTCAGGGACAGGCCATAGTATCCTGTTGTTGAACAGAAGCTGGGCAAGACAAAGACACCAACGGATCGGAGATGATTGAACAGAAAGGCCCTCGCTCTTATCAAAAAAAGAACTGTTAAGAAAATAGAATGAATGTATATCTGAGTGATTAGAGACAACTGATTTGTCCTGTGTTGAATATGTGTTGTTTAATAAGGGAAAATAATAATTATAATGTTTTTTTTATGTGAATGTGCATTTACATGTACATGAGTTTGAGTGGGATGAGCCCTCTCAGACATCATAGTAACTGTTAATGCAGAAAGATCTCATTGTAAGTAAATGCAATACAAATGTGTATACTTACAACACAAAGCAGAAGATAAGAGTTGTGGTTCTGATGCTGCTTTTCCTCAGCAGGTCGAGGGCATTGGCTTTTTCTTTAGGCTGTGCGGTTTCCTCATCACCCTGCAGGATTGAAAACCAAATGAAACCCTGTGTTGTGGTTTCTTTCCTCAGTGGCCTAATATCTATGAAAACAACAATAAACATGCATTTTTCTAATTTAAATACAAATGTGTCCATCCTGATGCTGACGAATCAGAAAATGACAAATGGATATATCATATGGCGCTTTGATGAGAAAACATGGTAATGTTTGTTTAAAATGAGATGATGTACTAGCGCTACCTACCAGTGGGTGTTATGATTTAAACCCCTTGCTCTGGGGTACATTTTGTGAATGGTCCTGCTAGCGTCTCTCCCTGCTCTGGGTTTTTGGCCCCTTCTCTTTTTTACGTGTGTGGTTGTGTACTGTATTTGTATTATTTAAAATTAGGACTAATTTCAAGGCTAATCGAGATGTTTTTGACCATTCATTTTTACAGACATATAACACTTATATGTTGCTTGTGAAATTACTAAATCACTTTAGATGTGTTAATACCCTGGCCTACAACATCCCTGACAATGATACACATAAGGAAAGTATTATAAAACGGAGTACCAACAACAGGAAGAGCAGATAAACTTACACTGAAATCTTGAAAGATGATATTCGGAACCTTAACTTTGTTCCACTTAGCAGCCTTTCTCACTATGGCCTCAGCCTCCTGCACTTTTCCCTGAGAGAGCAGCCAGCGAGGAGACTCTGGGATGAACCTGCGTTAGTGTTTCAGATAGACAGAAAGCAAGACTCGGGCTGGATCAGAGAGACTTTAAAGTATAAAACATTTTGTATTGATAGTACAGCTGAATATAGACAGGAAAGAGGGAGAGAGACAGGAGAATTACACAGACATGTATTCATCTTATACTTTAGTGTGACTATGGTCTATGGGAATGTCTCTATAGGGAACGTATGTAAAACAGGCACAGCCATTGATTTGCATGTATACTTTCATGTAATGCAACATACGTCCAGAGAGGGAGGTAAAGCAAGCCGGGTAAAGACGAAGCCAACATGAGAGATTTCCAATCCCTCAAAAAGTAAGCAGCAAGAGGTAGAATCATGTAACCAATGGCAAAGCCTAAACACGTGCCCAACGATGAGTAAAGGACTCGCACATTGCCAGTCAAGATCTCAGCGCCTGTGTGCAGAGATAAGAGAGAGAGGTTTTAACACATTCCTGCATTGTGTTTTATTTAATCTGTCAACAGTGTTAAACGACAGAGGCACTATTATAGACTGTGACATGTACCCAGCACTAAAGCAGCCACAAAGTTGGACATCTGTCCCAAACCATTGAAGAAGAGGAGGATAGTAAACATAGTCCACGAAGTAGAGAAGACCTGAATGAAGGAAAATAACGTCTGAACTGCCATGGTTGCAAAGAGCACAGGTTTTCTTCCAAACCTATGAGACACAAGTGAACATAAGAAAAACAAATGCATAACCTAGTATGTACAAATATATGAACATAATAGTTTTTCTGTCGAAGATTTGAGTGTAGATGTGCTCCACACAAACATGTGTGTTTACAGTTTTTGTGACATAAAAGAAAAAAAAACACAATGTTATACAGTATACTATATCACGGCATTATTGAGCATCATGTAATCTGATGCTGGAAAAGCTTTTTATAATCTGTAAGGCACAATAACACAAAATCCAACATAATGGGTTTTAGTAGCTGTGTATAAAATCATGCTCCAAGTGTCTTATGTGTCTTATGCCACAGCAATGGTAGTAATGTATACATCACATGGTTCTGGTGTTTTATAGTACCGGTCTGACAGCTGTCCTGAGAAAAAGGATCCAAAAAGAACTCCAATGAAGTAAACTGTGGCGGTGAACGGCTGCTTCCACTCATCACTGCACACCAGGTCGAACTGGAATATCCAAACAATAG